TCTATTAATGATATTTTGATTTTATAGAATATGTTAAAACACTGGTTCTCATATGATCACCAAAATACCGAGATGGGTGACTGCTTGGTTGTGCAGGTAGATATTGGCTTAGAATTGGAAATTGAAGAGCTGAGTTCCAATTCCGGTTGTGTTTGTTATATTCCCTTATGCACAAATACTCTTGGGAAAGGCATGTGTCCGCTTTTTCTCTCTCAGCTATGGGTTAATTAGTAAGACTTGTATTAGTAAATCACTATTCTCAAAAAAAAAATTCTTACAATCTAAAAATATTTTCTGGCTTTAAATAACCTGCAAAAAGGTTGATAAGCTCCAAAAAAAAGAAAATCTATTAAAGAAAGACCATTATGAGAAGGCAGCAGTCTCATCGATTATTTTTTTTTATTATTTTTTTTGCAACTTATATAGATTTGGTGCAGTAAATGTGTTTTTCTGGGAATGTCTTTTGAGAGAGAATTTTGTCCTCGAATGATTTGTATCTTGACCCACTGTCTTTAGGGAAATATGGAAATTGTTTCTGGAAAAAAAAATTTTTTTTTTTTTTTTTTTTTTTCCCTTCTGAGTTATGTAAATGTCATTGTCAAAAGTTAGTAGGGAATTGTTTCCATGCTGTATTTTCTCTGCTTGTAGATTGCATCGCTGCGGATCAAGACTCATGAGTTGCGAGATGAACTGGAGGAACTTGTGAAAAAAGAAGATTTTGTTGGGGCAGCCTCTGTAAAAGTCAGCCTCAAAGAACTGGAAGAGCAGCACGAGGCGCTTGTGGAATCTAAAAAGCCACAAGTTGAATGACATTAAAACCCAAAATTACCTTTCAATATAATGAGTTTTTGGGAGATACATTGATTGAAACAAATTTTCCTCAATTTTTGTAAACCAGCCTGTAGGTATAGTGTTAAGAGTCACTAATTGGTAATATGTGATATAAATGAAATCAAGAGGGTTGGTTGTCAATTTGTCAGCTAATTTTTAATAGAAAGTCATATTTTTTTCATTCTCAACAGTAAACAAATCCTTGTATCTTCATATCATTTATTTACACATGTCCTGATGTCATTATCTCATCAATTTACAGTCGAGCTGGCTAGATGTAGTCATAAGTTCTATGCAAACAGTTTCTTTACTCACACTTTTTGCTTGGGAAGTCCTGGCTCCACACTTTCCAGCCAACTTTAATCTTTGAAAGTTTAAATGCAATGTCAATTGTTATCTACTGTCCTCCTGATTACTCTTTCCTCTTCCCACTCATTATTAATGTTTCTGTTCCTAATTCTTCCACACCCAGTAACGCCTTGTGTTTTAGTGGTTTTACTCCTTTGTATTGGGTGCTATTTCTTGTCTGTTTTCATTAAAACAAACAATTTTTTGAAAATGGTCTTCACAAGCAAAAATTTTTTTGTTAATTTGACAGAAGAAAATTTCTTTTCTTTTGTGTCAATTGATTTTTGAATTTGTAAAAATGGCGGATATTTTTTTTGTGCCAAAAAGAAAATTCTTCCCGACCCACCAAAAGTAAATTTTCCTATAGATCTTCAAAACTCCAGGCCACAGACAACCAAAATGTCTTTATTAAGGTGACATGTCCTAGGGAAAATTCCTTTTCTGTTTTTTAAAAAAAAGATAAAAATCTTAACCATTACTTGTGATATATTGATTGGCATGGACAATAGAAAAGAGGAATTTCTAATTTAACATTTTCATCCAAGTTCTTTAAAGTTTAGCTTTCTTTTTAAATTACGCACATTTTTAACTCCATTCACAATGGTTTGATTATGTTAACCTTTACAACTCTGCACTGCTTTCGGAGTTATCTCCCCTAGATTCACATTTTGAGTGTGCTAAGGTTTTGAATGGTGGGTATATTACTACTAGCACGCTAACTTTTAGCGATTTAGAGATATTGTTATAAAATTTTCAGAGTATTTTCATGAAAGGGTATAGATATATTTTTTTTTTACTGTACATATAACGAACTTTGAGAATAAAAAATAAAAATCATGAAAACTAAATATGACACAATTGATAAAAAATGATTCCTACTCATGACATTGTGAAAGCCTTGCATATATAAAAGGAGGTCTCTTGTCCAGTAAGATGAATACGAGGGTTGCTTTATCAAAGCTGTCAACAAAAGCAAGGCCATAAATGCTTTTATTTCTTCAAATCAAACATTTTTCCAAGCTCTGATTTGCGAGTTGGGCTTTGCTGTGTCACCTAATTTTGTTTTCACATCGTTTGCATACCAGTTAGTTTCCACTGCAATTAATTGAATAACTTCATCAGATAAAAAAAAAGATGAAAAACGTCTACCTCACTAGCTTCTTGATCAATATTTGTAGTTCCAGGAGTATAGGAAAAAACTATGGTTTGTGATCGTATGTTTGTGATGGTTTGAAAATTCTTCCTTCTTGGTTGGAATCCTTTCAGTCTCAGTGTCACACACATCACCAATATCTGTGTGGGTAAATCTGAGAAATTCTTCTTCATTGTTCTAACTGTCCATGAAAAGTTGCTTTATCGATGTAAATATGTGTGCTTGGTCTGGAGGTTGCCAATGTGATCAAAAAAAAAATTTTTTTTTAAACGCTTTATTAAAATACGCTGGTAAAACAACTTTTTTCAATTATGACAAAATGGCTGAGATCTAGGCATTTCCAGTTCCTATCACAAGCTTAATGATGTCATTTCCATAGTAATAGGTTATTTTTAGAAAAGTACTTTCCTTTTGAAACGAAGCTGTGTTACTTGGCAAACATGTCCGCCTGGATAATATTGAGAAAGAATATTGCCAGTGGACATGTATGCCTACAGAGTTTTAGTCAGTTCAGTCTTATAACACTGCAATGCTATCATCAGTGAGAAACATAACGATTGCACATGGTGTATGGCAAGGCTCTCTATTATGTTGGAATATTTCACATTCTGCTGTTTGAGAAGTAGTGTATATGTTTTCTCTATTCAGTATCCAATAGGAGTCTGTCTATATTTCTGAGATGAGGTATTATGTACAGTATTTACATTAGTCGGACTATTGTCCTCATCTTTGTCACCCTATTTGTCACAAACGTTTTTTATTATACATCCGGCCTTCTTCAGGTGGTTGGAATTTCGAACTGAACCCTTTATTTCGATCACTGGGGTAGACTGTTCTAGTTCCACGTGCCATGTTTAATGGATGTCAGTTATCAGTTATCTCCTGCTAATTTTCCCTCTGAAATATTTCCACTGCCTTAACCAGGTATTGAACTCACCTTCTTTGGGTCTGTCACTGGATCTAACCAATGCCTTTATCCACTGTGCCATGTATTGAGGACACGTGGCCACCAATTTGAAGAAGGCCAGAGGCGTACATAACGGCTGAAAATGTTGTGACAAATATGACGACAAAGATGAGGACAATAGTCCGACTAATGTAAATACAGTATCCAATTGATTTTTATTTTTCTGTTTCTCTCCACTTTTGCCATTAATTTCTCACCATTAAATCTTAGTGTTCATTGTACATCTGAGATTTTGTACCAATTTGTCTTTGGACAGATTTCCCTTTATTGAAGTGTCGTCCAATTTTGTTTTCTTCCCTACCTATCCTGGTTGCCTCCTATTCATTATGCCACAGCAGATGTTGCTTTCCCAGTATTTTTATCTCCTTCAATGTTTTTTTTTGTTTAGTGATGACTTTATTTTGCTTCATTGCATCTATTTAGATCAGTAGTTGTCAAACTGTTTTGCCCAATGTGCACACTCATGACAGAATATCATTCCCTGCCTTTGCAAAACTGTCCGACTCAAAAGCTGCATTCTAAATAATATGTATATATTATTGGAAATCTTCATTCTTTTCCATAATAGTACATGTACATTCATGATAATTATTAAATAAACTAGTGTACCTATGCCATCAAAATTGATAAGAAGGAATGTATTATAAGTAATATGTATTGTAAATAAATTTTATTTAATACAAGTTCAATTTTGCAATTTAAAATAGTTTGTTAATGTTGATAATTAAATAGGGTACAATTTATAAACACCTCAGGAAAGATATCTGTATTTTATCTTCATTCTTTGTTTGTGTGCATGTGTACGCAATCATAGCTATTGTACGCACGCTTTTGTGACACACCTTGGATATTCTTTAGTCAGATTTGCTGAGAGATTAGAACACCATTGCTAGTGATAGGCAATCCCACAATCCAAGACATCTCAAAGAAAAGTAACTTTGTGAAGTTTAATTCAAGCTGAAATAAGATATAAATCTTGTCCAAGTTTTGTCGGACATATATTTATCTCCTCTCTCTTTATCCTTATTTCCACTCCCCCCCTCTCTCATTCTTTCTTTGCAATTGTGTATCTGTTTCTTTTCATGGCTACTTTCCATCACTCCTTTTGCTTTGATCATAGTTTGTAGAGAGAGGGAAAGTAGTTTGTCAGTGTGGTAGGTTTTTGTATGTGGATGTGAATGGGGTTATGACTTCTGTGCATTTCATGGCAAAATTTTGCACATTGCCCCTCAATTATTACACACAAAAAGAAACACACACATACATATAATAATATTTTTTTTGTTTAAAAATATGATTCCTTTGCTACCTAAGAGTTCTCATGTTTCAAAAACGAGAGCCGAAACCATCCAAATAATTATTAAAATTAAGTTGAATTGAGGTGTTTAGTCCCATTTAATCTTCAGGCGAAATTTTATTCCTAAAATTTCGCTTATATATATATATATATATATGCATGCGTGTGGCTTATACTTAGGGATAAAATGAAACAGACTTCAATAAACAAAAAGGTCAATAGAATACCAGCGTAATTGTAATTCGATAAACAAAATTCTGTAAATAATTAAAAAAAAAAAACACCATGCAAAAACTTCTGCTAGTTCTTTGATTCTTTGGCTATGGGAAGAAAGAAAGAGTGAGATAAGTGCTTGAAATTTTCCAATTAAACTTTTCTTTGTTTTTTCTGATTTTCTACTTCAGGATGATGCTGAAACTCTACTCAAGTGCCTCTCAATTATTGGTGAAACTCTCACTTTGAAAAAGCTCTCTCTGAAGGCACCCACTATTGAAATGCTGTTGGAAAATATTGTAAGAATTTATATGTATTTACTGATAATAATTAACTCGCCTGTTTTAACTAATATTTGATTCAGCAACTAGAGTTGTGGCTGATTGTGGCAATATGTCTGTTTATTCACATCCTCATCATAACCATTTTAATCAGCAAAAATTTAAATGCAATGTTAATTGCTATCTATTGTCCTCCTGATTACTGTTTCCTCTTCCCGCTCATTATTAATGTTTCTGTTCCTAATTTTTCCATGCCCTTTAACCCTTTGTGTCTTATTGGCTTTACTGTCTCACATGGGGTGAATAATTTGGAAAAAAAAAAACAAAAAAAAAACCCAGTATAAAAGTGGCTTTTTCAGTCCAGTAAGAACTGAAAAATATTTAGAAGAAAAATCAACAACACAAATCAAAAGGAAACACCTGCAGCCAGATACACTTGTTTCATGTCGGAAAAGCACATTGATCATTGTAAATTCTTTTTTTGGATGCAGAAACACATTCTTTTCTGGAATGTGTTTTCATTTGCATAAAAGCTTTATTTTGCTTCTCTTGATGTATTATTCTTTGTTTTGTTTTTTTTTTTTTTTTAAACAGATTTTGCCTTGCATTCCAAATGAATTCAATGAAGTGAGAAATCAAGCTTTGAAATGTTTGAGTCTTTGTTGCCTTAACAGTAAAGACACGGCCCTGCAATACTTAAACATCTTTTTACAGGTAAGTTGCCATCATTGCCCCACCCTCACTTTGAAGTGTCTCAAGTGAAAAGTTAATAAGAGAGATTTTATTCTACATGATGTACACTTGTTTCTTTGTCTTTGTGCATTTATTAATCTTTAAACAATCCTTTGTCAGACCCTTTTAGATTGGTGCTGCAAAACCAAAGAAATTTACCAAATAGTAAAAATGTCACCTGTAGACTTCCATTAGCGGCAGCAACAACTAAAATCGTTGTAAGTGGAAGGGAAAAATAATGATATAATTAAAATGGTGACTTTCCACACTACCTCATACAAAAGCCTTGAAAGGAAACGCCCAACAATACTAGAAAGAGCAACAGCAGTTAGTAGACTTTGAGAAGTTTAAATTCCTGAAAAACCGTTTCAATAAAAAGATTTAATTAATTTTCAACTGACAATGGCGCTAACTCTTCAGTCAAAGAATTCTAAACGTTTCCTGTATAGAAACGGCTAATCTCACCACTAACTCTCACCTGACAGACAACAGCTTTGTTTTTATACATTTCATTAATTTCACGTTGCTATAAGAAGTTACGTGGGACCACTTTTCAAGACGATAGTTTTGTTTTATCGTCATCATAAATAACTAGCTGTGATTCAAGTCTTAATTTCTAACTTAGTATAATGTGGGTGTGTATTTAAAGTTGTTCTATTTTGTACATGAGGGGGAAAACAAGGAAGATTCATATTTCGATCTTTTTTCGTTTTTAAATCTGAAACTGACAAATAATCTTTTGAAAGAATTTGGATTACTTCTGTCTAGAAAATCCTGAGTCATTGGTTGAGTGTTGGAGTTCATATTAAAAAAGTGTTTTTCCTGAAAAACACATTGATGTGGTGTAACGGTTAGGAAGCTTGTCTCGTTAAATCAATTACCATCAAATAGTGAGTTCGATCCTCATTGGGTACTCCATACTTTCGGCTTTGTGCCACATCTAAGCTACGCTTAGAAAATCACCTTAAAGGGTAACAATTTATACGTAAGATATGCAGAGTTACCTCCCTTGCAGTTTACCAAATGAATGTCTGCATCGCTGGACTTTTATAAATCCTGTGAATTTGATCATCATGACTTTATAAAATACCAGATTAAGATTAATAAATATTGTGCCATAAGACCATGAAAACTGATACTGTTTTTTTGTGTGTCATTTAAATTTTTAGGCTTGTCATATTGAGATGGAAGTCGACGAGGTGAAAGTCACAGCCCTGAAGGCCATTTTTGACATCTTGCTCGTGTTTGGGTTGGAACTTTTTGAATCGACTTCGTCTTCTTCAGAAAGCATGAGTGAAAGTCAGAACAACAACAGCCAAGGCAGCATGTACCAATTCAACCAGAGTTGCAGCAGTGTATTGAGTGAGAGTAAGCTGGATACACAAAATCTGGAAGAATCCACTTTGGCTGATGAAAGTACCAAAGGAAATTCGGGATCCAAATTGATGTTGGCACTTTTGTGTAAACACTTGGATTCAGAAGTAAGGTTTTTTTTTTTTTTTTTGGTTTTTTTTTTTTATTTATTTATATTTGTGCTACTAACTTGGACCCAGAGATGTTAACTTTTTGAATTTCAGGTTTCATTACATTTTGACACTTTTTTTCTGGATCTTCATCTTCAAGACTGTCACTTATAGACGACAACTTAAAAGTTTTCCTTCAATGTGTGATCTGCTACAATAGCTATTTATTGAGAATTACAAATCCATGATTATATTATGAAAAATGTTATGTGCACACACGCACTTACTTTTATTTTTATATATATATAGGGAGAATTTTTTATGATCAATTTTTGTTGATTGCTATTCATTTGGCCTTTCTCTACCTGCAAGGTTTGTTGTTTTCATAATAAATATGGATTTAATATAATTTTAGTAAAAGTCTGGGGTACTGTTCATCATATAAATACAGTCTGAATTTGATCTTTGACCAACCCTCTTCCACCACCCCCACCACCCAGTAGTGCTAAAATTATGATAGTCATGTTTAGAAGTCGTCAAACTTTCTGTATTTGAAATATTGCAAAATCTTTATATACAATACAGAACATTACATTTGTGGTTTCTTATCTACAGGAGTGGCTGGAAGTCTGTCAATGTTGACAGCCAACCACCCTCAATACTGCATTCTGAATTTTCAGTCTGGATTTACTCCCATAGCCTTTTCTGTGTTTGGATATGGCTGATGAGCTACATCTACCCGAAGTAGTTGGTTATGAGTTGGCAATATAACGAATAGTTCATCATTATATGAAGAGAGATTTTAGTTATTATTAAAATGACTTTAAAATGAACCTGTCAAAATGAATTCTGGTTTTTGTGGGTGTCTACTGGGCATTTCAGTGTTTGTATCACTATATTCTTGGTTTTGAATGCAATTAAAACAAAAATATTTAATTGAGTCTAACTTTGTTGATTACAGGTTTGTGAGATCCGCACTGTTGCTGCTGAAGGCCTGGCCAAATTGTTACTGTCGGGTCGTATTGTTGCCTCAAAGGTCCTCACTCGCCTCATCCTTCTTTGGTTCAATCCGGTCTCAGAAGATGATCACCATTTGCGCTGTTGTCTGGGAACATTCTTGCCTGTCTTTGCATCAGAATCTATGTAAGTTTTTTAAAGAAAATATTGAGTGCAGTGTGGGTCAAAAGAAAATCATTTAGTAGTGTCTGCTGTAGTATTTACTCTTGCAACTTGTACTTGTCCTATTGTGGGTTAGATTTAAAACTTTGAGTTTTTTGTATGATTACGGATTTAGTGGTGCAAGGTCGGAGTTGTTAAGAAATGGAACCATAAAAGTGCTAAACACATTTGGACCGAGTAGACATGGGTTAAGGTCTTTTATAAAATTACCCACTACTCTACTACATTGCCTGTTAATGTAAAAGCTATTTATCGAGGTCAAATATAAAATGGTTGATGCTTATATATATATATATATATATATATATATAAATGTGTGTGTATGTATCTATCTAGGGTGGGTCTACGCAGTCACACTAACACCAGCTGTCTATTGTATATAACGTTTTCGTAATGGTATGCTTGAATGTTTGACCTGCATTAGGATGTGCAAGTCCAAGTGGGGGTTTGACAAGGCATATGAAAGGGCATATTGGAAGTGATGATGATCAAAGGTACCTTCCACCACCACCAGGAGATGATTTGATATACCACATATGTGACAAGAAATGCAGATTGATGGCTGGCTTTGAGCCACTATCTTTCGCACAACCAATGAATGCAGTGTAGGGGTCGAGTTTAAGTAAAGGGCTGAATATGTCAGTGATGATCATACTTGCTTTGTGAGTCAACAGCCAGCGTGTATATATATATATATATATATATGTTATCAAGATGGTAAAATGTCGGTTTGAGCATTTGTTTTATAAAGTAACAAATGCTTGGTGCTATTTCCAACCCAGCGTAGACATGTGGTAGTATACAATATGTTGTTTTTTGTGACATATTTTTATTATATTGTGTTTGTGTGTGTCTGTGGGGAGGGTTCATTGTTTAGTTTAGTCTGTACTGCATAACATCTGATTGAAATGTCGTCACCTTTGTGTCTTTATAGTAATTTATTTTCAGTAAATGGCAATTTGATTTTTTTTTTTTATTGTGTGTTGATGGGGTCATTGTTTAGCTTACTCTATATTGCATGTCTGATTGAAATGAAAATATTGGTGCTTATGTGTCTTCATAGTCATTTATTTCTAGTAAATAGCAGTTTTCTATTTTTCCCAAAATGGGCCAGCATAACCAGGCAACAATATTATATCAATGTAGTATTGAAAGCTTTTAGATTTTCCTTTTAATTAATAAGAATTTTTGGCTCATAATTTGTGTACTTTAAGTTGAGTTTAGAAAATGCTCAAGTTTGCCATTTACTGGAAATAAATAAGGCTGAGTTTCCCATTTTTCCCAAAATGGGTCAGCACAGCCAGGCAACAATGCTATGATGCAGCAGTAAAAGTGTTAACTTGTTTTCAAATTTGTCTGAGAATTTCAGAATTCAATGTTTGTGTTGTGCATTGAAAAGCAGATGATTGTCAGGAATTAAAGCTTTGCTAACAGACTGAATAGATGTATTGTATACTAGCCGAATAATTTGTGGAGAAAAATGCATTTCAATATTACTCAATGATCTTGCTGATGTGATGACACATCTTCTGGATTTCTCCTGTAATTTGGATAGGGATCAGTCTTAAGTTTCATTTAAATAAAAGAGAAAAAAAGATTCTGTGTGTGTGCAAAACAGCTTGATCTGACCCCTTTGATGTGTATTTGATACAATACTTGATGAACAGATTTCAGCATTGATATGACAGTTTAATTGTCGCAAGAGATATGTATTGTAAGGCACTACCCACTCATTGGTGATATTATTTTTTTTTGCTCAGCTTGACATCTATATTGTCTCATTTTGATCTTGCCAATGTGAACTCTATCTTCTGGCTTTCTCCTTTTATATTTTGGATAGGAGTCATTCCCTTATTTAAATTTAATTTAAATCAAAGGGGGGAAAAAATTTCAGTGGGGTGGAAAACCATATTAAGCTTTACAAAATTAGGGTAGTGTAATTTACTGTTGGCTGTTCTAGTGGAGGTGCGGGGTTAGATTGTCCGATTCCTATCCATACTTGATATCTCTCTCTTATTTATATTATATATATATTTTGTAAAATATAACAAACATTGAATGTCTATTATGTTTGATCATGAGCTGTTCTAAGCTTTGCATTGTTGGTTTAATTTTGGGAGAAAATAAAGACAAAAACTGTCCAATGTTTGGATATTTTTTTATTATAATGTTCCTTGATCTAAACTTTTGGCTTACATGAAATGTCCATATAACCACTCTGATGATGGCTCCTGTGAGCCGAAAGCTTAGATTGAGGAACAGCATAATAAAAAAAAAAAAAAAAAAAATTACCCAAATGGTGGACAGTTTTTGTCTTTATTTTATCCCAGAATTAAAGCAACTATACAAAGCTTAGAAATGGTCATGATCAAACATAATAGACATTGGTTGTCTGTTATATTTAACAGTATATGTTCAATCTCGGAACAACCACAGGTGACCCTTCCAGAAAAATTTGAGAAAATTCATAGGTGTTCTTTGATCAAGTTTGACAAATCCCAAATATTAGATCTGTATCTTTAAACAGTTTTAAAATCAGGGCATCTTTAAATTTCACTGCATTTTGCCTAAATAAGGCTTTCAATGAATTTCTGACATTCATAGATCCAAGGATATTGCATATACAGATTTGTTACTTGGTGATAATAATTAATGTTTATTGTAGATTACAAAAATATAAGTGGATTAATTATGCCTTATGTAATTCTGTTTTTATAAGGACTTGAAAAATGGCTGAAATGCAAATTGATGCTATCCAATTTCAGAGCTTCTAATTCATTAAGTATGGTAGATACAACATTCAAAGTAGTGTTCCTGTCATTTGTGACTGAATAGATTATTTCTATATGGTAACCTTATTCATTCCTGTTATCTGAATGTCAGTATTTATGTTGGAATATTACAGGACATCTTTAAAATTGCTTATTTTCATGACATTAACAGACCAGTTGAAGAATTATTTTTTTTTTATATTTTTATCACATATTCTTCTATGTCTGAAAATGTCATGCGACAGAAGTTTTATTTTGTGCACAGACTTTTGGAAAAGGACCTTTTCTGTTCTTAGAGATTTGCAAATGCAAACGATGGAATAAGTGAATTAAGAACAGAAAGAAAGTGGAGGGGATTTTTTTTTTTTTTTTTTTGCTGACTTTTTCATTTAGAAAAATTAATGTCCACATCTCTTCCACTATGTTACGTTGCCATTTTTCAAAAATGACCTCATCAACTATTACATAGTAATAATTGTTTTTGATGTCTTCAGTGCAAAGATTCCAAAATTGCCAAAAATATTATTTACCAAATGTTTAAATTTCTAAGTTTACATCTGGCTTTACATCAGTTTGTGAAAAAAGAAAGAAAAAAAGTGTTACCAAAAAAAATTGTACTAAATGTTTCATGTTCAAAATAGTAACACCCCATTGGATGATTAAAAAGAAAATTATCCAGTGATGATTTGAAGCTGGTAATCCAATATTTGTCATAATATTGCAGATCCATTAAAAATTTGCAATTAGCAAAAAAAACATAATGGCTCACTTATTTGCATGTTTCTGTTTTGTATTGTTTTTTTGGTGGGCAGGGTGAACCAGGAACTTTTGGCTGATTCTTTTCTCCCTGTGGTGAAAATCCTGAGCAATGCCCCAGCATCCAGTCCGCTGTCCAAAGTGAACATCTCCAATGTTTGTGATTTGCTCATTGAACTCACTCGACCACAGATTTTGAACTTCACCTTCCAAAAACCAGTGAGTGTTGAGCTGTGCTACATTTCTTTGCAGCATTTTCTTTTTTTCTTCTGACTTTAATATTTTATTTCATTTTCTTTGTTTGTCAATTGGAAGAAATTCTTGTGTTTTTCTGGAAGGATTTTAAAGAAAAATGCAGATTTTAAGAAAAACAAATCCTTGTCCCATTTGAGAGACTGCACCCACTTATCCTTCATCCGATTTATTTTATATCATTTAAAAAAGTGAATTAATATTTACTTTAAGTAGTTATTTTAAAGACTGCTATCTGGCACAATACTTACAAGGGTGTGAATATCTTAACTATTCTCACCTAAAGTCACCTGATGCCATTTTCTGCAATGTCATACATTGAGGAAATTCTTTGTTAAGGTGATGATGATTGAAATTTTGAAGTGAATTTGAAAATGAAAAGAAATAAAAACCTGTAGTAAATTTGCAATTCATAAAAAAAAAAAGTGGGGGGTGGGCAAATTTAAAATGTGGTTTGTTTTGTTCCTCTCTAAAAGCGATCATTCATTTTTTTTCTCTGTTTGAATGATATTTTTGATGGAGTTTGGGAATTGTTTTTTTGGAATTTGGCCTTATTTTATCTCAAGATTACTGAAGAACAGTCTGATGAAAACAGTAAATGTAGACATTTATCCTAAATACCAAGTTGTATCAGAAAAGCAAACAAAGTCTGAGTGATGTGGATTGTCAACAAGGCTTGTGGAGAAATTTTATGATAGTTTTCTTTTTTTTTTTTTTTTTTTTTAAACTTAAAATTTTTAATCTTCTCATTGGATAAAAATATGATGTTAAATTAGTTGTTGTAGAGATTAGTAGACTTCTTTTTAAGAAGTTTTTTGTTTTGTTACTAACCAAATATGAACAATAGAATGGAAGCTGCAGTCTTGCTTGTAGATTTTAGATTCTGCCGCCAAGTAATAAACAAGATTCATTGGGTTTTTTTTTCTTTTCTTTCTCTTTGTTTAGGAGAACCCAAACCATGAACGAATTGCCACCCAAATTTGCAATGAAATTTTGTCAAATCCAAATTCCTTCATTGTTCGTTCATTGGGACGAGTACTCAACTATCTTGATTTGCCTAAAGACAACGAAACTAATTTGAAGGACCTACAGACCTTATGTACACAGATGATGGAAGTAAGTAGATAAAATCTTTTATCACCAACTTGGCTATATTTATTTGTCTGTTGATTATTTTAATTTTATGTAACATTCTGTCTGTCGTAGACACTGAATCTGTTAACAAAAAAGAAAATGATTTGACTGTTTTGACAATTTTCATTCTAACTTCTCTATCTGACAAGAGGAGATTGACTTCATAACTTTTTAATGTGTTTATTTTTGTCCTGCCTCCATTCACTATTGTGTTCGAAGATTACAAATCTACCATAGAAATTTGTTACAGCAATTAAAAAAAAAAAAAAAAAAAAAAAAAAGTTCTGGATGTTATTCTGGGACAAATTGCTAATTAAATAATTTGTAAATTTGTCAGAAGTTTTGCACTTTCTCTAAAGAGCAACTTTATTATGAAGACAC